CTTCCCGGCGCTGCTCGAAGACCCGGAAAAGTGGTGCGGGCCTCCCCGTCTCGGGAGCATCCGCGGGCCCCAGCGGGAACGATGCCTGAGGTCCCCGAGGCTCCTCCTTCTTTGGGGACCCCAGGTCCTGGGCACCCGCCCGGCTTGGCCTGGATTGTGGCCCAGGAGTTTCAAGTCCCAGCAGAGGGGGTCTGGTCCTAGGGTCCCACAGGCGACCCCTGGGGAGGGCAGGCGATGTCCACCCGCAGCCCCACTGCGGCCCACAGCGGCCAGCAATGGGGCAGCTGCTCCCTGGACCGGGAGTAAGGACGACACGCCCACACGATCAGATCTCCTTTATTCACACGCTAAGCAGAAGCATCAGGGCTCAGAGGCTCCAACACCTCTGGGGGGCGGGGGGGGGCTGCACCCAGAGGGCTGCGGTGTGTGCAGGAGGCACCAGGACCAAGTGCCCCAGGAGCGACCAGTGTAGAGGCCTGACACCCAGCACAGCCCGGGCCCAGCCAGGTCCTCCTGCCCCGGGAGCCACGGGCTCCAGGACAGGCCACGGAGGCGCTGGCTTCAGGGAGCGTCGGAGGGAGGCCTCTGCCCGTCCTGGCCAGAGAACCAGGGGGGCGCGGCATCCGCGGACGGTTTGGGGGGAGCCACACTGGGGTGCAGGTGATGCAGCGAGGGCTCCTCCTCCTGGAAGCAGACCAAAGTCACAGTCGGGGTGGGGACAGGGGAGGGCTCACCCTGAGGGCGCCCCTGCCCTTGGGCCTCAGAGCAGGTGTGGGCGAGGGGCCAGGCGGGTCCAGGCAGCTCACCGAGTCGGAGCCCCCGTCGGCCGGGGAGCTCTGGAAGTCCGCGTAGGCCTCCTGGGGGCCATCGGGCAAGCCCTCCTCGCACTCCGTGAGGTAGTCAGACTCGTCTGGGCAGAGGGGTGGGCCATGTTGGTCCCCTCCGAAGGCAGGGCTGTGCTGCCATGGCACAGGCCCCGCCCACAGCCAACCAGGTCACGGGCCCCTAGTCCGTGTCAAGGTGTGGAAGGGACGTGGCTCCCAGCACCCTGGCCGTGTGGGCGCCTTTCCTGGGTGTCCACTCACCATCCACGACAGCCACCTTGGCGGGCTCGATGCGTGACACGATCTCAGCGAGGTCCGTGAAGGAGGCGTTGGGGCAGGTGAGGACCTGCGGGGCGAAGAGGAGGACACCCCTAGCACCCGTGCCCCCAGCACAGCCGCCTGCCCAGCCAGGCCCAAGGCCCGCCCCGTGCCCTGTCCCCCCCGGGACCCTGGCTGGCTGAGGACCCCCAGCCTGGAGTGGGGGCAGGGACGTGAAAGATGGGCCGAGTCCTGCGCAGACCCCCATCCTCTCGAAAGGCGTGGAAAGGGAGGGGGCAGGGGGCAGAGAGACTGGGAGACAGCTCCCAGGCCTGCTGCCTTCGACTGTGCTGGCCCACGGGGGCGCCGCAGCACGAGCAGCTGAGGGGTGCTCTGGGGTGCTGCTGGCTGCAGGGCACCTATCGCAGATGCATGGGGGGGGGCAGGTCGCAGAGGAGGGAAGGCAGAGGGTGTCCGCGGGCACTCACGTCGAAGGCCTTCATCTTGCTCGTGCCCTGCCGGTCCTGCAGCATCTTCTCCAGCACCCCACTGCGCCTCCAGATGTCAAACACCGTCCGGCCGTGCTGGTAGCCCACCTCCTGCAACAGGGGCCCTGGGCCTGGGTGTGGGCCCACCTCCTGCTCTCAGCAGGGCAGGGGGCTGGGCAAGAAGTAGCCAGAGCCTGGCCAGTGTGGCTCACTGGTTGAGCGCTGACCTATGAACCAGGTCAGGGCACACGCCGGGTTGTGGGCATGACCCCAGTAGGGGGCGCGCAGGAGACAGCTGGTCAATGATTATCTCTCATCACTGATGTTTCTCTCCCTCTCCCTTCCTCTCTCATCATGGATGTTTCTCTCTCTCCCTCTCCCTTCCTCTCTGAAATCAATAAAAACATGTTTTTTTAAAAAAGGCAGCCAGACACGAGCCCCGCTGGCCTGGCACCGACGCCCCCGCCCTCCGCACTCACGCAGATCTCGGCGAACTTGCCAAAGTCCAGGGTGCCGTAGCTGTCGATGGGCGGGCGCAGGTACTCGCAGTAGTCGCTGTTCCGCACCTCCTCCAGCTGCCGCACGCAGCACACGTAGGCCAGGCGCGTCTGGATCTCTGCCATGTTCAGCACCTGCCACCACCAAGGCCTCGGCTCTCGTGCCCTGGGTCCCGCCTGCCTCCCCGGCCCAGGGGGCAATAGCTCCGCCAGGCCCACCCTCTCCCAGCGCTGGCCGCCCGGGGAGCAGGGGTGGGAGGGCCTGGGACCCAGGAGGGCAGGGGGGCTGCGGGGCCGGCCTGCCCCGCCCAGGGCTGTGCCCACCTTGACTTTGGTGGCCAAGGGGTTCCAGCGCTTCCACAGCAGCCACCACCCCGACAGCGCGTCACCGTAGTTGGTGAGGTCCGTCTCGTCCCGGCTGCCCACATCGATGGCGATCACCACCTTCGCCCCCATCGACCTGGCCACGTCCGCTGGGGACAAGGAGACGCTGGTTACCCAGGACGGGTGCCCGGAGCCCAGTCGGGGCAGAGCCTGCCCCACCAGCCCCGAGGCACGCGGAGCGCCCTGAACTGTCCAACAGGTGACAGGTGGGCCCGAGGGAGGGGCCCCCCAGCACACGCAGCACCTGCGGGCTGTTAGTTCCCGCTGTGGCACAGACGGGAGGTAACTGCTCCCCGCCTCTCCCTGGCCCTTGTTCTGGGAGCTGCTGAGCTGACAAACGGAGCCATATGCTGGGCTCGCGGTGCCCGGGCGCGGGTGTGTGTGTGTGCGTGTGTGTGCGTGCGCGCGTGTTCCCTGCTCCGAGCCAGCCTGTGACTCCCTTGGCAGAGGCTGGAGGAAGCGTGCAGAGCCGGCGGAGCGGAGGCGCTGGGGAGGGACGCACCTGGGAGGTTGTTGATGTAGCCGCCGTCCATCAGCAGGTGTCCGTCCTTGGGGTCGCAGAGGGGGGGCATGTAGCCGGACAGGGACATGCTGGCACGCACGTACCTCCACAGGGAGCCTGGGGGACCAGAGGGCGGAGGTCCCGGCCGTGTCTGGGCAGGAAGGAGCCTCCCCCCGACCTGTGCTCCTGCCGGCACCCTGGCCCCGCTGGCCTC